GCCCGGGCAGGGGCAGGGGGCCCTCAGAGGCCAGGGCACAGAGGAACCGGGACACGGAAAACCAAAGAAACGGCACCCTTTCCTGCAAAGTCACATTTTCCAGCACCCGTGTGTTTTGGTTTGCTGCAACGCAGGATTCGGGTCCGTGTCCGGGTTTAGGGGGGTCTTGCTAGACTTGTTTTTTTTTTTTTTTTTTTTTTTTTTTTTTTTTTTTTTTTTTTTTGTTTTTTATTTTTTTGTTTTTTCGTTTTTGTTTGTTTTTTTTTTTTTTTTTGTTTTTTTTTTTTATTTTTTTTTTTTTTTGTTTTTTTTTTTTTATTATTTTTTTTATTTTTTCTATTTTTGTCATTTTGTTTTTTTTGTTTTTGTTGGATTTTTTTTTTCTTTTTTTTTTTTTTTTTTTTTTTCAGGGCCCGTGTCCGGGTTTACTCTGGAAGCGTTCCAGTGCGGTATTTTGTTCGTGCCGCCGCCTGGGAGACTTGGTTTCAAGGGATGTTGGGTGTCCGGGTCTAGCGTGTCCGGGTTTACGGGGCCTTGAAGAGACAGAGGGCCCCCATTTCCTCGCGTGAAGTCTGGCCTGTCCCTCAGGGGGAGAATTCAAAAATAGTAAAAAATAGTCTCGGGACGATTTTTAAGATCATTTTTGAATATTTTTTGAATGCTGTTTGGGTATTTTTCATTTTTCGTCCAATATCCCCTTGTAGGGGGACACGCCCGACCTAATCCTCGCGTTGCGAAAGGATCACGGCGGCATGATTTTGGTCATCGTCGGCCTCCGAGGGGCCTCAGGGGGTCCCTGGACCGTGAAGGAACGGCTCCGGATGAAGAACCGATCCCAGGCATCCTCCGATCTGATTTTTTCCATCCGCGATCGCCCAAGTCCGGACCCCTTCCCTGGGGGTCGCTGTTCGTCCCAGCTCCATTGTGGATGGCCCCAGGGCACGATGTTGGGCCCCATGCAGAGGCCGAGGTCGATGAAAAATCGCCGGAGTGAGAAATCATATTTTCGAAGGTTTGGGGGCCGATCTTCTGGGGGCCCAGCCAGGTCAGACCCCCTGGCCGCCTCCAAAGTTCGTGATGGTCTTCCTCCCCCGTGCTCCAGAGCAGAAGCTTTAGGCCTCCCAGATGGGGTCGGAGTAGATGGGGCCGGAGGATCGCGCCGCATCGCCGATGGATCGCCGATGCATCGGCGATGTGTCGGATTGAAAGAGTCATGTCCTCGGAGGCCTGGGGTCCTGGGGAAGGTCTTCCACGCGCAGAGGGGGGTAGGGGGAGGGGGGAGGTCTTCTCAGGAACACCCCTGCTTCTTAGACGGCACGCGGGCCTCGTCTGTGGACGTAGGGCCGGCGCCTTCTGAGAATCAGCCCCCTTCTAGGAAGCCTTCCCCCCTCCCCCTGACCCCCCCCTGTGCACGCCGCCAAGATGGATCGCCGATGCATCGGCGATGCGTCGGATTGGAAGAGTCACATCCTCGGAGGTCTCGGGGGTTCCAAGGGGCCCGGAGGGCTTTTTGGAGGGCCAGGCGGGGCCTCCTTATGGGGGGGTCGCCTCGAGAGCCTCGAAATGTTTGCCTCGAGATCTTCGATTTTTCCCAACCATCCTGTGGTGTTGGGTCCTCGTTTTGAAGAGACGGTGCCCGCGTCCTCTCCTCTCCTCCTCTTCCCCCTCCTCCCTCCTCCTCTCATCATCAGCATCATCATCATCGTCATCGTCACCGTCATCATCAGCATCATCATCATCATCATCGTTCTTATCACCATCGTCGTCATCATCATCGCCGTCTCCATCATGGCCACACGTTTCGTGGACCCATAGGGAGCTCCACCGAAGGCCCCAGTGGCAAGGTCCGCATGCGGTTCCACCTCCATTTCGGCGCACCCCTCACACGTTCCGTGGCCCCATAGGGAGCTCCACCGAAGGCCCAAGTGTCAGGGTCCGCATGCGGTTCCACCTCCATTTCGGCGCACCCCTCACACGTTTCGTGGCCCCATAGGGAGCTCCACCGAAGGCCCACGTGTCAGGATCCGCATGCTGTTCCACCTCCATTTCGGCGCACCCCTCACACGTTTCGTGGCCCCATAGGGAGCTCCACCGAAGGCCCAAGTGTCAGGGTCCGCATGCGGTTCCACCTCCATTTCGGCGCACCCTCACACGTTTCGTGGCCCCATAGGGAGCTCCACCGAAGGCCCAAGTGTCAGGGTCCGCATGTTTACTCGTTCCACCTCCATTTTCAGCGCACCCTCAACGTTTCGTGGCCCATAGGGAGCTCCACGAAGTGCCCCAGTGTCAGGGCCGCATGCGGTTCCACCCCATTTCGGCGCACCCCTCACACGTTTTCGTGGCCCCCATAGGGAGCCCACCGAAGGCCCAAGGTGTCAGGGGTCCGCATGCGTTCCACCTCCATTTCGGCGCCCCTCACACGTTTCGTGGCCCCATAGGGTGCTCCACCGACGGCCCAAGTGTCAGGGTCCGCATGCGGTTCCACCTCCATTTCGGCGCACCCCTCACACGTTTCGTGGCCCCATAGGGAGCTCCACCGAAGGCCCAAGTGTCAGGGTCCGCATGCGGTTCCACCTCCATTCCGGCGCACCCCTCACACGCTTCGTGGCCCCATAGGGAGCTCCACTTGAGGCCCCACTGGCAGGGTCCGCATGCAGTTCCACCTCCATTTCGGCGCACCCCTCACACGTTTCGTGGCCCCATAGGGAGCTCCGCCTAAGGCCTAAGTGGCAGGGTCCGCATGCAGTTCCACTTCCATTTCGGCGCACCCCTCACACGTTTCGTGGCGTCATAGGGAGCCCCGCCTAAGGCCCTAGTGGCACGGTCCGCATGCAGTTCCACCTCCATTTCGGCACACCCCTCACACGTTTCGTGGCCCCATAGAGAGCTCCGCCTAAGGCCCAAGTGGCAGGGTCCGCATTCAGTTCCACCTCCATTTCGGCGCACCCCTCACACGTTTCGCGGCCCCATACCATAGGGAGCTCCACCGAGGGCGCCAATGGCAGGGTCCGCATGCAGTTCCACCTCCATTTCGGCGCACCCCTCACACGTTTCGCGGCCCCACAGGGTGCTCCACCGAAGGCCCCAGTGGCAGGGTCCGCATGCAGTTCTACCTCCATTTGGCGCACCTCTCACACGCTTCGTGGCCCCATCGGGTGTTCCACCAACGACGATACTTACAACGGCGGCATTCGGAATTGCGTATGGTTGGGCCCTTCGCCAGGATAATTTTTTTGCCTTGAGGGCCTCGAATTGTTCGCCTCGAGAGCCTCGAAATTTTCGCCTCGAGATCCTCGACAGGTTCGCTTCCAGATCCTCGAAATTTTTGCCTCCAGATCGAGGTCCGGCCTGGGGAGCACCAGCACCGATATCAGTTTTCTGTGTTCGCTTGGGGGACCTTCTTTCGGCTGCGAGCGAAGGGTGGAAATGAGTACGAGAAGGCCTTCTCAGAAGGCGGCGGGACTTTTCAGAAGCCCTCGCGCCTTCTGAGAATTTTTCGGTGTCTTCGGGGAAGGCTTAGAAAACTTCTCAGAAGGCCGGGGGACTTCCGAGTCCTCCGATGAGGCCCGCCCCTTCTCACTTCTCACTTCCCCCCCGGGCTCGCCGCCGATTGGCTACGGTCGGGAACTTTGGCTTAGCGTGTCGCTCCGCTGGTTTTGGCCTACAACGCTTCGGTGCGACACGCTATCCACGTCCCGTGCCCAGATCGTCCCGAACGGCTGCTGGAGGCCCAAGGTATGCTCCGAAAACCGCCAGGGCCGCACGACGCCGGCCGTGCACCAGAGGAGGGCGATTTGAGACTCTTCGGGGAGCCCTCTCGTCGCCACAGCTGGACGCAGCGCGGAAAACTGGTGCGCTTGGACACCATGAGGGGTCCAGAGGCCGATTTTGAGTTGTCGTCCTCTCACCTCGCCGTGCTCCGACGTCCACGTGTTCGATATCCAGGAGCCTCTTGGAAGTCACAGAGCACAGCTCATCAGAGCAACACAGCCGCGCAGCAGCGCGCAACACCGAGCAGCACCGCGCAACACCGCGCCCTTCACCTCGCGGCGTTGAGCGGTGTTGGTTTCCAAGTCATTTCCCAGAGGCTCATGGATCGGAGGCGGGATGCGACCGCGCCCTTCGGAGCCGCTTTGGTGCAGCCAGGTCGAGCGTGTGCTTCGGGCCCTTCGCGCGTCTGGAGCGCGTCTGCTCTCTCGCGTGTGCTTGTTGCCTCCCTCCGGCCGCCAGATCTTCCGGCCGCGCCTCCGGGCAACCTTCGTGGCGCCGCAGGACACGCTTTTTACCCTTGCTGTCGGTCTGCTGTCTACGTCCTGCTGCTGCTGCTGGTCCTCCTCCTCGCGCTCCCTCCTGCCCTGTCGCTGGTCCTCGTGAGCATGGTTCGGTGGCTTCTGCCGCACTGCCGACCCCTCGGGAGCGCTGGGTGCCTCTCTTGCAGGGGGGCGTTGCCGCAGAAGCGCGCCGTGCGTCCCTCCGGGAAGCCCAGTACCGTGCCGAAGGGGATCCCTGCTTGGTCGTTTTGGGGTCCCCTTCGGGGCATGTTGGGGGTCTCGGGGCCGTCTTGTTGGGGAGGGCCCCTGGGGGCCCCTTCGAGTTTCCCCTCTTGGGCTCCTCCCGTGGCCCTCATAAGGGGTCCCTTGGGCAATCCGGGGGGCCTTTTGGGCCATCTTGGCGCTCTGTCGGTTTGTTATTCCCAACCATCCTGTGGTGTTGGGTCCCCGTTTTGAAGAGACAGCGCCCCGCGTTCCTCCTCCTCCTCCTCCTCCGCCTCCTTCTCCTCCTCCTCCTCCCATTCCTGGTTGTGCTTTCCGCATGCCGTCATCACCATTCTCATCGTCACCATCACCGTCATCACACTCGCCATTGCCATCATCCACATCATCATCATCGTCATTATCATCATCAGCACTATCATCAGCACCACCACCACCATCACCATCAGCATCAGCATCACCATCACCATCACCATCACCATCACCATCACCATCACCATCACCATC